AGCGAGGACACTACTCAAGGCTACTTTTTTGAAGCGGTTGTTCTGGAGGAGAAAGTTCGCGAAGGTTGATTTAATATTTATAAAGTGTTAACATCATTTTCGATTTGAAATGCTACAATTTATTGGTTAGGTGTGGATAAGGAAACGGAGGTTTACTCACTTCACTTGTACCCTCCCCTACAATTTCACAACATTCTTCCATTCCCCATTACATTTGAAATACCAGTGGCTATGGATCTACTGCAGGGCGAAAGCATCCAACTGAACATGGTACCAGGTCATCGCATGCGGTTATGGGTAAGAACTCCAGCTGTAGGGTCATATTATAATGCTTTCTTCGACCTATGAGTTGTCAGGCTTCATACTTGGGAGAAATGTACTCACTGGATATGACAATCCCTGAAGAAAAGCAAGATCTCCAAGTGGTTGCGTTGAATACAGACACTGGTTCTTCTGAGTTGGTGAGTTTATAAAACTCTCCTATCTATATACATACTCTTTTCTTCTGGATTTTTTTACTTTGAAATCTGTTGAGCATTAAAACACTTTGACTAAGAATCAGCGTAGTTTTAAAGAGCTGTGGTACCTTATGCTCAATCATGCAATCATGTTTCAGCTTTTGGGTATCCATTGGAGCACTGAACACGGAGATCTGAAAGCATACCTATACGCGCCATTCTGGCTCGTCAATAACACTTCAATGACATTGAAGCACATGGTTAGCGCGCTGTTTCGTTTATTTTCTAATTTTCTAGCATGTGTAGTTTTCCCAAAATGGAGCACTTACTCTCACTAGTTTTCCTTCGGAGCTTCTAGGAAAGCGGAGGGAACTTGCTGCGAAATACGACACAGTGTATGCCCTGCAGAAAGGCCCAACCTTCGCAACAGGTGAAGAAAAGAATGGTGCGGTCATGCTAACGATATAATAGTTAACATCCCCTTTCCACCTCTGTTTGAGATTCATTCGCCGTAACGATCGCAGCCGTATAGCTTAGCGTTGCACTGGAGTCGGGGCCTTCTGCGGGCTGTGATATCAGTACTTTATTTAAGCACTGGTTAATC